CCCCGGGCAGTGTCCCGTAGTCCGTGAGCAATACTGGATGAGATGTTTTGGCAGGAACGTTACACATGGTTAAAATAAGCGTTTTCCTCTACAGTGATAAACTGGCCAACGCACGTACATTTGTAGCAACATTATAAATTGGCTCCTCAGCTTTGAAACGTAGAATTGGATCTCTTGTGACAACGTCATGAACACAGAGAAGCGAATCATTGCCTGCCGAATATACCTTTTCACGCCTAAAAAAACACAGAGACACGTCGAACCGGATTTCACAAAAGTTTCAACTGAAGGCAAAAAGTGTCTAAAAAAGTATCTTTGTACACGTGAAGTGGCCAGAAAATGGTGGTGGTGAATGAGAGGGAGCACTGAGCTCCACTTATTTTAGCTGTGTGATTACTCGAAACACTTACACTGTGGGGAATGCAAAGCGCGTTCGACAATTCGTTAACAAGAGAAATTAGTAATTCATTGCGGCAAGAAGCGAGAAGAGCCAGGAGCATCAACGAATGGGCAGACAGTAGTGGTACACGGTGGATTGAAACTGCTGCTTGTTGGATAGCGCAGTGACGGGCAACATTAGAAAAGCTGAACAAGGTTCAACCTGTACGCTAATTCGGAGCACATTCAATGCAAAATATTACTGCACCCATTGGTCTGCTGCGCTCTCGCATGCGAGGCCCGGCGCCCCTCTCTCGCCACTGCAGCCCAGTCATCTGATAATGAATTATGCTGTGCAGATGCAGATATACTCCACAACCTGTTGCCGTAATTTAGCATTCTCGGGGAGTGATTTTTGATCCAATTTTTTGCGCCTTCTTGATGGGATTTTGCTTGCTCTCGCGACAATGCGTTCTCCCTCCCACCCCAGCTACAACACTTACATCCCCCCACAACCTAAACCCAGTGAAATTTCACATTATCGTCAGATAATATATCAAACAATGATTTATGGTTTTTTAAAGAACAACTGCATCACTATGATGCAATACCCCGATCCCTGGTTCAAACTCTGGACAGCCTACCTCCGTTAGTTTTGCTGTCTTAGTAATCTCTGACCTATCGGGTACAAAAGCATTCCTTCCCCTCTCCGAGTTTTCATAGATAGTTCAACCCACACGAAAAGCTACTTTCTTCCTATCCCTGTTCTGGA